CCTAAACCCTGAGCCCTAAACCCAAGAACCCCAGGAGGTGGGCTCCTCCAGGGTTCAGGTAACCGCCATTTGTCAGCACCTTTCATATTGCAACCCTCCAAAGACCCTGTAAAACTGCAAAGGGCCGAGTGTGGCGGTAGTACGGATGGACAACATTCTGCATGGCCCATCATGATAAGATACGTACCGTCCGACGTTGCCGGGCAGTGACTCTGCTTCAGGAACCTTTGAAGCGATGTTTGCGAGGACGAAGACCAACATGCAACCCTTGCATGCAGCAACAACAACTGACAGCAGCAGCAACAACAAAAAACGACACCGCCACCGCCACCACCCCTGCCACCAGCAGCAGCAGCAACAACCGCGACAACAACAACAACAGCACTGTGACAGCAACAGCCACAGCGACACCAACACCGTCAGACACCGACACCAGCACCGACAACGACACCCACACCAACACGCCCATGCAATACCACCACCACTACCACGACCACCACCAACAACAACGACAACGGCAAAACACCACACGCCCACGACCACCACCACCGCCACCGCCACCGCCACCGCCACCGCCACGCCCACCGCCACCGCCACCGCCACCGCCACCGCCACCGCCACCGCCACCGCCACCGCCACCGCCACCCCCACCGCCACCGCCACCACCACCACCACCATCACCAACAACAACAACACCACCACCAACACCACCACCACCACCAACAACAACAAGCAACCACAACAGCAACAGCAGCAACAACAGCAACAACAACGACAAAAGCAGCAACAACAACACCATCAGCAACAGCAACAGCAACAGCACCACCACCGCCCCCACCCGCAACCCCACCCACACCCCGACCGCCACCGCCACCGCCACCGCTGCCGCCGCCACCGCCGACAACAACAACAACGACAGCGACAGAAATTGCAATAGCAGCAGCAGCAGCAGCAGCAGCAGCAGCAGCAGCAGCAGCAGCAGCAGCAGCAGCAGCAGCAAACAACAACAACAACAACAACAACAACAACAACAACAACAAAAACCACAACTGTAGCAGTCACTAACAAACATGTTTGGATCTGCGTATGTGTGTATGCCATAGTGTATGCATGCATGGATGGATGGATGGATGGATGGATGTATGTATGTATGTATGTACGCATGTACGTATGTACATATGCACGTCCGTACAGATGTGTGCATGCATGCATGCATGCATGCATGCATGCATGCATGCATGCATGCATGTATGTATGTATGTATGTATGTATGTATGTATGTATGTATCTCTCTATCTACCTACGTAACGTATGTATGCGCACATGTGGAATTTCATACACACGTCAAAACCTAGTTATTTCAGAAGCCACTCCCGTCTAAGGATTGGAATCATGGCGTTAAACGGTGCCGGAAGCTCTATGGCGTTCGCCATCGCACCCGCCACTGCCATCCGCCCGAGCGTTCCTGCGCAGGCCAGGACTGTTTCGCGGGAGTTTGTTCAGCGCTTCTGGAGGCAGTCTACATCCTGAACCCTAAACCACTAAACCCCTA